TTAAATATTTAATTTATAATAATTTTTAAATAAATAAATTTATTAAACACTTATTTTATAATAATTTAAACAAAATCGGCAACAATTAGCCCAAACTGCATTAACAAACAGAGTTGAACTTATTCCCTGTCGTGGACCAATGATAGTCATTGCTGCCCAAAAGATAATCGATGAAATGCATTTTTTATTTTAGGTTTAATATCTCTTAGAATAGATATTAACCTATTAATTTAATTATTTTTTCTGTAAAAAAAAAAAAAAACAGAGCTGAACTTACCTAATATTTTAACGCTTTCGCTTTCTACGTGTAAAGTTTCCAACTATTTCTGTTCCGGACTTTTTAACACTTTCGACGCGTAAAGTTTCCACCTATTTCTGTTCCCGATTTCTTAACACTTTCGACGCGTAAAGTAAAGTTTTTCACTATTGCTGTTCCTGACTTTTTAACACTTTCGATGTGTAAAGTTTCCGACTATTTCTGTTCCTGACTTTTAAACGGATGACTTTTTAAAAGTATTTATTTAATATAAATGATATATTAATTTGAATGAAAAAAATTTAATTTTTTTAAAATAAAATTTTAAATTTAAATTTTATAAATAAAAAAATAAAAAATAAAAAATTTGATTTTAATAAGACTTGGTACGATTTAATTTTAAATTAATTAAATTTAATATAACAATTGAATATTAAAAAGTTAATATAAAAAAAAAAAAAGGGTATTTGCCCAAACTATTTCTGATCCTGACTTTTCAAGCGATGACTCTCAAAAGTTTCTGTCCGTCCTTCATTTCACACTGACACATGTTAATTTAGTGGGGGAAGATAGCTGGACTCTGTTAAGTGATTGCTAGAGCACTACGGTTAAAAACAATCAAAATGTTTATTTTTATGATACATTATTATAATTAATATTATTATATATAAATTAATATTTTTATTTATTTAGTCTTCAAATACAATAATTAACAAAACCGGCGGTGGAACTAGGATTTTGTTAAACTCAGAGCCTTTATCTAACTTCGTGTTTCATGGTTCTATCTAAAATTGTTAGTGTGTAGGGTAATTCTAGAGTAAATTGTGTATTATTTGAGTCAAATTCGATTTAAATTTCATTTATTTGATAAACAATTTGAGTTCAATAAAGAAATAAATTTAAATCGAAGTTTACATGCCTACTTATAACTTATTAACAAGTATTTAATTTAAAATTAAAAATGATATTATATTTATTATAATTTAAATATATAATAACTTATAAATCTATCAAAACTAAAAACATGACTTAAATAATTTACTTATTTTGAGTTTTTTAGAATTATAAATAAAAATATTCAAACAAAGGTTATGGTTTTTTTAATGAAATACTTATCATCTCAATCTCTAAAAATTTCAGAGGAAAAACACAAAAATTTCAGAGGATTGTTAGGTTCTCTTTGTATTTTGATGATGATTTTAAAACCATGATTCAAAAGTATTTAATCTATTTTTGTGTTAAGTGTGCAGGAAAATTAATCCAAGGTTTCTAATCTTTCCCCACGATTAGA